TTCAATGCAGGGTTTGTTTTGTGATGGTTGATCTTTGTACATATAGGTAAAGCAGATTGTTGTATTAAAGATACTGAAGTTATAATTGCAGAGCTGCTGAAAAACATAAGCTCTTTTATTTCTTTAATTTTTTTGTCACAGAGGAAATTTAAACATACTGGGTCAAATAACGTGAAAAATTTCCACCATGCAATTTGAAATTGACTTTTTTTTTGGTGCTGGTACTGGAGCTTGAACTCAGGTCCTTGCACTAGTGTTTGGTTTTTCTGTTCAAGGCTGGCTCATTGAAAATGAGTCTCACGAACTTTCTTGCCTCTGATCTCAGCCTCCTGAATTGCTATGATTACAAGTATAAGTAACAGCTTCAGGTGAGATTGACAGATTTTGAATTTCCAGGGAGAAAATGTACAGACACCTGGAGAACCTCTTACCTGTGATAAAAGTCACAATGTCAAGGTTAAAATTGGAGCAAATGGCTGACACAGACAGTCTTGGTGATCTAGCCCCAACAAAGATGATATCATCGACTCAAGGAAAGGCAAAGATGTGACACAAATCCAAGCAGAAAATTTTAGTATTTCTTGGGGGGTGCTTCTCCATGGAAGATCCTGTGAGTGAACAGGAATACTGACTGTTTTGCGATCAGAGAGTTTGTGATTCCGAATTTTACCTCTGATTGCCGTTAAAATGAAACACTGAAACTGATGTGATGTCAAAGATTTCTATTTCCTAGACTAGAAAAATCACAACTGTTTTCACAGTAGTGAGAAAGCTACAATTCTGTGGCTTTGCTGTTCTGACCACATGAAGATCCGTTTGTGATGTAACAAGTCAAACAGTACGCACACTCGTGTGTGCCTGTGTGTGTTCATTTAGTATTGTTCTAGGCGGATACTTGTAAATGGAATCAGATTCTCCGAGGGATCTGAGGTTGCAAATTGAAGGTCTAAAGGTTGAAGATTGATTTTTTAAATCAAGAAAAAAAGAATAATTAGGCAAGGAACAAGCTGATGAGGCAGCCTGTCCCTGTGGAGTGGTGTTTCTGCATTTGTGATGTCGAAGTTCTGCAACAACATCGGTTGTTCTCGTCTTCCTCCGCTTTGGTGAGTGGTGCAGAGTAGGGCTGGCTTTGTATTCACATTGCAGAAGATGAAGCCATCTACAAGACAAACTTCATCGCTGACAAGCTGGCTGAAAGTGCACGCACGACAGGACAGGAAAGGAAAGTGGAAGAAGAGGAAAGTTTGTTGACTTGTTTCCATGATATCTTCCATCTCAATCCTAGATGGAAGGCCGTGGGTACTTGGGAGGTGGACTAGAGTTTGGAATTGGACATAAAGTGTTTCCTGCAGTGCTCCTACTTCAGGATCAGTACAGCGGCTGCTGCTTCAAAGTAGCTAATTCTCAGCCTGACTAGGCACTTTCCATTTGGCAAATAAGTTCAGAGTTGTGTTGAGGTCTCCGGGTGTTTTCCTTGAGGACAGATGATCACGGAAGACAGGTTGCAAGGTGCAGAGGCAGTGTGTACCAGCACAGTCATCATGACTTATTTCCAACCCTCTAGCTCTGCAGAGGTGATGCTATTATACAGTAACATGTGCAAACACTTTTGTGCAGAGTGCTATATCCCAGAGTGAGCTGTCATAGAGTATAGAGCTTTATATCTATTTTTTTCTGGGTTGGTGATGTGAAAATCATTCTGAGTACAATCGAAAGGTGTGCTTAAGGTCCCCAAAGCACAGATTGTTTCTTTTGCATTCGTAAGTCAGCAATGTATAGAGTAAATAGAGAGCACGCTGTCTGGTTTAAGACTTTAACCAACTGGAAAGGTAGGGATTTTATATGCTCAAAAGAGAAAAATAACAGTTGCTTCTTGACTTATAGGGGAATAATAATAATAAATAATCAACCCTTTGTGAGTTGGAAATGAATTTAATACACCTAACTCATCACACTTTGCTGCTTAGTTTAGCCTACCTTAGATGTACTCAGAATACGTATATTAGCCTACATTTGGGAAAAATCCTCTAATCCAAGTCTATTTTATAATAAAGTAGTGACTAGGTCATGTAACTTACTGAATGCTGGGCTGACTGTGAAAAATGGTGGTTGTATGGATATACTTCTCTACAACCATAAAGCCAAAAAGTTGTCAATCAGACCATTTTAAATTGGGAACTCCTGGTAGATAGTAGCTTTTTATCTTACAAAAGACTTATAAACAGTGGCTGACTTTGGTCTTCATGGATATCTAGAACTATTAATACAAATATGTGGGAAGTATTCTTTTCCTGATCCGTGTAATTGCAGAGTGGACTTGAATAGCAGGACTGTCTTTAGAGAAGGCACAGACTGGCCACTCTATGGCAAGGTCCAAAATCCCCTTTCTGATTCAGGGAAGAACAAGAATTGAGACTGCAGATTACACATCTGAGTGGAGACCAAGGAGGAACTGGTTCGTGGCAGGAAATAAACAGAAGAATGGTATGGTGTGCTGGTGTTGGCTAGATAGAATGTTTTAGTATATGAAGATTATCTTGCAGAATGCAACTTCTAATTATGTTGCTGTTTTTCCTTAAAACTTCTGATATTACTTTCATGAGTCTAAAAGTTTGGATGTGGTTTAGTATAAAAATAATATTAAAATAGTGTTAATATGAGTCTGGATGTGGTTTTAGTATTACAATGGGCTTTAAGAAAAGATTTTCTCCAACACTTTATGACTAGTTATCCCTTGCTTTCTAGGTGAAGTTTCTATAATTTGAGTTAGAGACTAATTTGCCTGAGGTTTTATTGCTAGTTGGTGTTGGAACTTACACTGAATCTGACTTAACTGCCAAACAGGAACTCTTTTCACCATATCAGTTTCTTCCAATTAAATGAGAAAAAGAACAAACCACAAAAGAACTAGGCTTTTCTTACCATTCATTAATACAGAATGGTGAAGAATTGGCTGTATTCCTTTTTATATGCATGTATTGGTAAGTGGAGATTATTTTTTCTAGGTTGAAGTAAATAACAGAGGAATATTAATGTTCTTTGAAAGCTAAAGGAAATGCAAAACATTTTCATTTATGTAAGTTTCAAGTTCTTAATTTGTTTTAGATAATGCCAATACTGAATGGAATTTTTCTGTAGTTTCAGTGTAGAGCACAGAGCAGATACCATATCTGTGTCTGTTTAATGAATGAATAACTTAAGCCAAATATTTGTTGAGAACCTCCGTATGGTGGGCTTGCTAAATATTGATGAGCAACATCTCCTTTCTGCTTCTTTTAAGATGTCTCTGGAACTCTTTAATTAATTAATTAATTTGTTTTGTATATCTGCAGTTCATATTGTTGACTGACTTTGTGTACCTATAATTCTTTACAATTGTTGGATTACATGCTAAAAAGCAATCACCTCAGTTTGTGTGCTACAGGTTCCTTTAGGAGGGTCATAAAATGATTGGTAGATGAATAATTTATTATAGGTTAAAATGTTGTCTGTCTGCAGATCAACTTTAAAAATAGTCACAAATTTCAAGTATAGAATCTTTATTTTTAAAAATAGTTGCTAAGTTGGGTCCCAAGTATTTGGACAGGACCATATAAATTGCTAAGAATTTTATAGGGTTAACCAAATATTTAACAGCTACTAAAGATAATTTATGATATATGGACAGAAACCTTGAAGCCAAGAGGCAATAATGTATATGTAGGAAAAATAAGGAAATTCAGAAGTCTATCAGCTATATTTTCCTATTAGTAATTTATTAGCTCTTTTTTTTAGTTGGTTTAAAAGATTCATATAAAATGAAAACCATAGAAAAACAAGAAAATCCCAAGAGAGGAAAAGCTGTGGAGGAGAAAATGTTGACATACATAGTTGAATTTTCAAATATTAGAAAAAATTGCATTTGGAGATGAGTTTTCCCTTGGTCTACATAACTCTACCTGGAATCACCAAGTAGAAGTTCTCTAGGGATGCAAATCTACTTTTAATGAGGAAAGTTGGTTAGTAATTAGTAATTGGATGTTAGTTTGTGTGTGTATGGTGGGGGGTGAGCAAGAGAAGTCTTTGTTTTAAATATATCTCAACAGAAGTTTACAGATTATGAGCAAGGGAGGGCAAAAACAGATTTGTATACTGTGCATAGGAATGAATTCATAAATTTAGGTTGGACTTATAATTCTAAGAAGTTTATAGCTTTTGTCTTGGCATCTAATTGATCTTTGATATTGTTGTTTGCTGCCATTTTGAATAATGAGAAAGATTTTCCTTTACTGTATTCCAAATAGTAACTTCACCCAACAAATACATCTGATTTTTCCATTATTGTCCACTATGTGTTGATATTACTTTCCTCTCTTTCTCTCTTTTGTTTTGTTTTGTTTTATTTTTTTTTAACAGTTTTGATTGTAAGGCTTGAAATCAGGGCCTGCTACGTGTTAAAATTACTAACATGCCACAGGAAAAAAGAACCTATGGAAATAACCCTCCATTTACTTTGCTTTTTGGGACAGGGTCATGCTGTGGTAGCTAGGCAACCCAGGCTGGCCTGGAACTCACTTTGTGGCCCAGGTTGGACTCAGGAACTCCCTCTGCAAGTCATGCTGGACTCAGATTTGTGATCCTCCTGCCTCTGCTCGACGATACTGGGATTTCAGTCATGCACCACTATCCCTGACATAATGTTCATATTTTAAAGGATCATGTCCTTAGAGCAGTATGCCTGGATAAAGAGTTCCAGAGATGTCTAAAATTTATATTGGGTTGTAAAACTGAAGTATGGGCTACAGGTTAACAACCTTGAATTTTGCCCTTAAGATTAAATCTCAGAAAAATCTACTTCATTATAAATACATTATTACTACTTGGTAGTGGCCCTGTGATTGATATGCCTACATCTTCCTTTTTTCAGCAGTCTTTTAAGCACCAATCCTTCATTTTGGTTCTGAAAATGAGGAGGGGGGGGCTTCTTTTCTCTAGGTGGGACATCAATTTTTTTTTTTTACCTGCCAATACAGCTTGATGAGCTTGCTTACGTACCGCTCACTTCCTCCACCCAGCCAAAACATGTAGTCAGCCACCATGGCACTCCTAGAGACAAGGACAGATTTCTTTTTTTAAAGACTGAATTTACAGGGCAGGGGTAAAGCAGATCATGCAGCAGGTACAAATACGGCAAAGAGAGTTTTGTAATGTATAGATTTAACTTGATGAAAATGAAGCAAAACGTGAAAGCCCGTTTGAGAAGTTAGAACGCACCTCACCTCTTTTTTGGTAGCTAAACTAAAACTATGGAAGAGAAGGAACAAGTCCTTTGGAAGAGAAGGAACAAGTCCTTTGTCTTTTAGAGGGCTTTCTTTCTGTTTTTCATTTGTTCTGGGTAAGAATATTTAAAGGCTAGGAAGGAATGCTTTGTTCTGATGGCTTTATGGGAAATGTCACAGCATTTGTAATATGATACAGATTTCATAGACTTTAGGACATCTTTGAACTTAGCATTGCACAAATAGCTAGCAGTATTCCATAAGTATTTAATCAAATCTCAGGCTTTTACCTGAGTTAAAGATTATCCACATCTGGTTAAATTAGCCTTCTTAGAATTGAAACACACACACACACACACACACACACACACACACACAAACACCCAAATCTCCATTTCAGCAAAAAATCCCTTCCCCCAAATCTTGGTGCCTAATTGAATTAGTTTTATTATCGAGTGTGTACAATCACCACATTGGTCTTATTAAGCAGAGGGGATATTAAAAACTATTGTGGAATGGATATTAATTCATTACTTAGTACCCTTTGGAGAAAACAGTTTACTTTTATGACTGTTTCTTTGCTAGGCTTCTCTATTTCTTTTCTCCAGAGATTCCAAATCCAATTAAATGTGACTAGAAGTAATTCCAAATTGTCACGTTAGCCAATTAAACATATAATAATCCTGTGTACCTAATCACTAGTACCGAAAGTTTATTTATTTAAGTAGAGCTATCACTATGTACCCCTGCGTGTTTTTCTTATCGTTGCCTGCAGATACGTGTTGTTTCTTGTAAATTGAATAGAAATGTTCCTTCCCTAAATATAGGTTGTTTGAAGCACAGACTCTATCAACTGACTAGACCACTCTGTTGTTCAAAGAAATTAAAATGTTTAGATTCTAGCTCAGGATGGGCAAAAATGAGTGCTCTACAAATTAGCAGTGGAAATAAATAGAAACATGGAAGAAAACTCGGTAGTTTCTTCATACAATGTAGCATTGGATAGAAGCGACACACTAGCATTGAAATAAATGACAATAACTGAAAGGCTGTCTCCTGAGAGCCCTTCCACACTTTCCCAAGGCGACAGTGATAACGCAGTCAGGGACGTTTGGATGTTGTGTGAATATGTATGGAGCAGAAATGAGATAGAAAATGCATAGACTTTAGAAGGGCAAAAGTGTATTTCAAATGTTTGCATTTGATAGAAGCAGTTGGAAAAATGCTCTTATGACAACCTCAGAAACTTGTAGGTGTCTTATTATCTAAGAGAAATTCATTTGAAGAATTGGAAATCTAAGAAATCAATGGAAAATGTGAAAAATCTTCCCAGGGAGAGCAATATTGTTTTTTACAGGAAGTGAGTACTCTTACTTGATTACTTGGTCTGTAATCTGGTTCTTTTAATAAAGTCATTTAATCTAGTTATTTCATTATTGTCACCATATAAATGTGGCTCAGCCAACATTGTGTAACAAAGGTATCAGCTGTTAGCTAAAGTAGGGGTGGGCAAATACTGTTTACAGAGGGTCAGAGAGTAAACATTGTAAGTTTTATAGACCATGAGGTCTCACAAGCATTTAAATTTGCTTTGTGGAAGCAGATAGAGGAAATAAATACACATGTGGGCCAATAAAACCCTATTTATAATTACTACATAGCGAGCTGGATTTGAGGTAGTTTACCTAATTCTAAAATAAGCAAACTGTTAGGTTGCCTAGTAAGTCAAGGGAAGTGGTATAATTGTCCATTAATAGTCAGCTGGATTTTGGTTTACTGTCTTCTTTTGTAAGAATAACATAATATATTTTACTGAAATGATCGAGCAGAGTTTAACAAATAGAGTTTACAGTTTGAAACATGCAAACACTGAAAGAGGTATTTCTAGAACACAGATGCAGTGTCTGGGGTCAAGTAAAAGCTAAGTGGAATTTCTATAATGTTAGCAGTTCTTTTATTTGGATTAGAAAAATCCTGAGAAGAAAAGGTAGAGATGCCTACATTGCATTTCTAAGGCTTTCTTGCATGTTTAAAAACTACTCTTGGTGATTTGGTTCCAAGTTCTCTATTACAAAATTAGAAGTCTTAGCATTTTTATTAATGTTTTTCAAATGACTTTTTCTGTAATGATGCGTTGTCAAGCTGGATACGGTATTTCTGTGGGATTTTCTTACACCTGTGCACTCTCCCCACCCCCAATGAAGGAACAGAGCTCCAAACTATTACTGAAATCAGTAAAATAAGAATCATTGAATTCATGACTTGCCACACCTTGGGGAAGTACCATTATTATCAGAGTTGAATGGATGCTGACATTAAATAACAAATGCTTGAAGTAAATCCCCAAGTCCTAGATTTGCTCAGGCATTGTTTTATAAGTGTGGCCTGTTTCTTTCCACAGCCTGTTTCTTTCAAGTGGTTGGGTTCATGTCAAGAACACAAGTTAGGCTGTAGGTGGTCCAATTCATTTCCTTCCCTGTGAGACTAGCAGCTATAATTTACCACCCACCTTTGTCAGGCTCCAATCATAGCTTTGCTCTGGTTGGCCTTCAGGAACCAGCCAGTAGTGGAAATATATGTAAGATCATGGCATCATTATGGTATGTGGGTGTGGATGGGGCAACAGGCAGGGGTTTTGCCATCAGACTGGATTGGTGGAGGACAAAGATATCTATCTAATCAGCTCATTGAATACCTAGGAAGAGCCAACTCTGGCAGACTCACCATGTGGATCAGATGAGAACATAACTCATAATTCTTCCCAGTCTCCATCTAGGCCTTGGTTTACCATCTGGCCACTAAGCCAAGTGCTAGTCATTGGAGACTGGATTCCTCTTATCTTCGTTCATCTGGAGTTCTGTTGTTCACCTAGACCTGTGAGATCATTTGAGCCCAGAGCCTTGAATGGACAAGCTAGTGTGTGATTGATTTGTCAGTTTCAAGGCTGTACTAAGAACTTTACAGAGTGGAATGTAAACCCAATGCAGGAGTCTTTGCACCAGAATGCATCTGCCCTGCTCCTCTCCAGGGAATCTGCTACAGAAGTCTCCCATGCTCTGGTTTCTCTTTTCCCTTTCAGTGTCTCCCTGGGTTTTCTTCCAACATGTACACACAAATGCTGTTGTTTCTCCCATTTCAATTCAAAAGAAAATACCCACAAAGCCTCTCTTACCCCTCCCCAGTCACCTCTGTTATTAAGAAACAGACAGCACAGTGTCTAGTATCACTGCTGAATTCGTCCTCCCTTTGTCTCACCATTTCTATGCTTCTCTTTCCCCTCCCCAAATCAGATAAACTTACATACAAGACAAAAGGTACATAAAAGAAAAACAGTGACAAAAGAGAATACTGAGAGAGATGACACTATTCAAAAAGAAATTTACTTAATACCTGGCTTATATACCTGTAATCCCTCTGTGCATCTTCCTTGCAATAAAAATTTTCCTTTGGAAAAAAAAAAATCTGTGCACCCCTCTCAGCAACTGCTCTATCCTGCTCTCTCTGATCTCATTCCAGCCTGGCTTCCGTGTAGCCAACCATTGACCTTTTCTAGCCAGAGCTATTGCTGGCCTCCACATTGCTCAGAGCTTTTGGGTTCATCCCTCCTTCAGCCTTTGGCTTGGATGCTCTCATTAGGCTAGGTTGCTAACTTTGGGGCACCCTGGTTTGTGCTGCTTTGATCTCCTCACTTTCTTTTTATCCTCACTCCCTTGTTTCATAGGTTTGAATACCATATATATCTCTCATATCAATATATATATATATATATATGTATACCAATAACTCATCCATTTATACCCTGAATCAAAACCTCTTTTTGAATCTCTGGAATCTTCTAGAAGCTACCTTGTGGACAATCTGCATAACTGGCTAATAGGTGCAAACTTCCTGTGATCACAGGGAGACTCCAATCTCTAACCATCCTTTCTGTCTATTCAGTTTCCTGTGATTTTTGGCCTTGTTTTTTCAGTATGGAATTTGAACCCAGGACTTTGTATAAAAACACTCTAGCACTGAGCTATATCCTCATCCCTGTTTTTTTGTATATATATGTATATATTGCATATATAGTATATTTTTGTATATATAGTATATATTGTATATATTTGTCTCTATATACACATATATACACCTATAGATGTATGTATATATACACATATATAACATATGTATGTATATATTCATACACACATTTATATATGCACATATACATACAAATATATGTATACACACATACACACACACATATATATGTATATATATATATATATATATATACATACATACGTATATAATCAATACTTGTTTTTATTTTCTTTTGGCAGTACTGGGGTTTGAACTCAGGGTGTTAGGCTTGTCAGCCTCTGACCTGCGCTACTGATGACTGTAAACAGCTAAATGTACAAATTTATGGACTTTCATGTGATACAGTATTGTAATGATATCTATGTAATGATCAAATCACAGTAATTAGGATACCTATTACTCCCAATCATGTATCATATCTTTAGAGTAAAACATATAACACTCTTTCTTCAGTTATTCTGAAACTGCATTATTACTGATGATCATTTCCACAGTATGCAATTGAACACCCTCACTTACTTGTCCCATCTTAATGTAATCTCGTAGTCATTGACTACATTCTTCCTACTCTGCCTCCTCATAGCCCTTCATTTGATAATCTCTCCACTGCTGATAATCATGGTTATACTTTCTAATTCCATGCGATCAACTTCTGAGCATCCACAAATGACGGAGGACATGTGATCTTTGTCTTTCTGAGTCTGGCTGGTTTGCCTTAACCCAATATCTTTCAGGTTTATC